ACCTGTAAATAGATGAAAAATCAATGATGTGTTACTTCGCATGGGATTAGTTACTTCAGCAAAACAAAATTGCTAACGAGGAACATTATACAGAAAATACATTCATTCATATATTTTCCTCATATATTCTTTTCTCAGTTGAAGCAGAGCATACCAGCTTTGCCATTACGCTCTAGCAGATGATTTGTTCTGTAGGCCAAAACTGGTTCAGTGAGAAGACACTAACTTTGGAGTTAAAAGAGCAATTCGATTCTGGCTAGATGAATTTGAGCAAGTTATCTGTGTCTTTGTGTCAGATAGGAACAGCAGCGCTTCCCTGCAGCATTGAGAGAAATTGCAGGACCTAAGCATGTACAACTGAAGTGGGGATCTCACCTAGGGAGATTGATGTTAGTTGCTTTATTATTTTGCCCTCACTCAAACCTCTTCACGTATAAGTTTCTTCTTCCAAAGATTCTTACAAAGACCTGAATTGCGTAAAACAGCGGTAACCAGTTCATGTCTTGTGATCTAATTGTACATATTTTTGTTTTGGGCATATTTGGACCACGGAACTGTCATGCAGATAGGAAGAGGTCCCTTACTAGCCTTGTATCCCAGATCCATTTTCAGATTCTGCTGTCATCTTTACTCTGCTAGGGTCATTATCTCAATGAAAAAGACATCTATTAGTCTCCATTTACATTAAAACAAAGGAGATACTAACAACAATAAGCAGCCTCCAAATAATGATACCCACTCAGCTTGGCAACAATCCCATTTCAGCTATGAAGTGCCTACTTAGAGTTTGTTGACATTCTATTGGACTGTCACTAGTTTTATTTGCACATTGGAGATACCTCCCACTATTTCTTCAAGCAGGACATTAAGAAATGTATCAGACACCTTAAATCTGTTCCAAGTGCGGCTGTCAGTCTTGCTGGTTCTGCAGTTTGATGGCTTCACAGCAACTGAGCACCCTTCCTTCCTCTTCCATTACTATCCACACACATTTATACATCCATCACCTCCAGGTGACAAACTCCAGGTAGCAGCTAAAAAAAAAATACATCACTTGAACTACAGCAGCCAGAATCAGAAAAACAAAGCAAAAAAGCTGCTTACCTTAGAAGGACCTCAAGTATGCAGGGATCTCCAGCAAGCTACTCTCACCTCCACTGCCAACCCATAAATGAAGTCTGGGAAGGGGTGGATCCTGGCTCCACCCCTTCTGATTATTCAGGTACATTGCTTGCACCTGAGCTGCCTTGGGTTGGCCCTGCCTTCCCATCAGGCAGGTGCTCAGTCACCGTTTCAGACCATGACTCAGCATTTCCACTGCACATGCAGAAATAGATTTGGATACACATGTACACAGAGACGCTGTAAAAAAGAAAACAAACAAATTAAAAAAAACCACCTCAGTTTAGTTGCATCATGTGCTTTAAAACAAGAACTGCTGTTACTTATCCAGGATGACAGCTGTTTGTTGAAATGTGCATAATAAATAGCATTGGCCCTCCTGCCATATCTTGATGCTGTTCATGTAGAGAAAAACACTGCCAAGTCACTTGTAGAAAAATTTTCTTCTCGTCTGGGCTAAGTTTAAGTATTTAATGAGATTTCTTCTATCTTATGTTTTTTTATATAGGTATAAAGACTGCTATCACAGCTAAGATAGAATAACAGTCTTCTTGGCTCAGCTTGTTTGGACTGCTGAGACCTATACTACAATCATTGTTTGACCACCTCAGATAAAGCAGTTTTAAAAATAATAATAGTGATGAAAATACCTAGCCTGTAAGCCTTTTGATGCAGCTGAATTTGACATCTGGCTTGATGATTACAGATACTTTACTCACATGAAGTGACATTTTTAGTTATATGTGTCAATTACAGTTTGGTCAGTAATTCTGCCCTCCCAGAAATGCTGTTAGGTATGAGTCAGTGACTACAAATAAAGTGAAAAATTTAAGGTACTTAGATGTCTGTTTTTCAGCAGCAGAGTAATAAAACAGATCCAGCAGTGTTATTAGATTTATTTTTTAATATATGCTCCCTTTTCTACTTTATACTGAGTATATACACAATTCCATCTAGCTGTTCAAAAGGAATGCATGTTAGGGAAGCACGTACCCAATTGACAAGATCTTAAAAATTCAGTAGAGTAGCTGCACGCTCTGTTGTTGGCAAATCACATGTTAAATCACACAGTTGTTATTTAATGAGAGTGTAGAAGGGAGTGGACAAAATTCATGCCTCACGTTCTTTTAATTCAGTTTGTATCAACTTGAAGGGTCCTGCCTTTCGCATCTAGATGGAATAATGCCAGCCCAGCTACTTAAAGTTCCTCTAAAAGAAAGATGTACACATGGACAAGTATTCAAGGATAGGAAACATTTCACGGATTTCGAATCTACTTTTCATGTGACCCTGAATTTCTCAGGTGAAATGAACATGTAAGCCTTTCAACCAAACTTATGTACTGCCGCCCTCTATCATACTTTAAATACTAACCATAAATGTATGCACGTCACTCTTAAATTTGCAGAGACAAAAGTGTAAATCAGGAAGAGTCCAGAAAAACTGGAAAATTTGAACTTCTCTACGTTTCGTGACGTATTCCCCAGGCTGATTCATGATTTCATTTCGCAGTAATTCACCCACAGATCTACCAGAAAGCTGCCTCAAAGTATAGTAACTAGTAAAATACTATAGTAAATTATTGTGTAGTAGATACTGTCAAGTCCAAACTCTTCTAAGGTTCTTTAAACCAGCCCACCTGCACAGCAAAGCTGTAAACCAAAATGTGTTAAAAGATCTGCAAGAAAAATCAGTGTATCTGAACCAAATTAATCATTAACCAATTCATATTCATGAATTCCCCCATCTTCCTGCTCCCAACTACATTTAGAAAATTAGATCACATTCATTTTAGAATAGTACATTCCTCAGCTCTAGATGCTTGATCAAACACAAGTCTTTAAGATCAGTAAAAAACATTATAGATTTGAAATATGCACTATAACTACTATTAATGCCTTGTTATATCAGTGAGGACCAGACATCTCAAATGCTATTGACTTCTAAAAAACAGCAAATACAGGGCTGTAAACAACTTTTTTCCATGAAGATGTCTTGCTGGTGAAGCTGACTTACATCCAGTGCAAGTGTCAAAAGAAACTGCTAATCTCAGAAGAAACTAAGCTCTTAATTCAGTTCCCCAGGAACTGAAGTTTTGTTTCAGTGTAGGAAAGATTTCTGGGGGACAGGAAGCATTTCAGACTTGTTGCACCTTCCAATACTTGGAAAGCTTCATGCATACTCCCATATCATCTTTTTCTAATAGAGAATAGAAGGACGGAAGTTGAAATATAAAGTACTGCGTATTTCTCAGTAAAATTTATTAGATTAAGGTCAGATGATAACTTTCCTTGGTTCTGTCACACAAGGGAAGGGAACTTTTTTCACTTACACTAGCACCACCGAGCTTCATCACTGATGGCCAGGATGCTCCAGTAAACGTTTGTGGAGATACTGCTCCCTCTAGAGGCTATACTTAAACCACAACACCAGAGCAAAAGTTTACTAAAAACGGCCTTCTGTTCATCTTGACAGAAACGTGCTTGAAATCTTGTTATTCATTCCCAGAAGAGAAATTAACACTGATTTTTATGGCATAAGAGTCCTTGGCACGCTGTTTTAATAGAAGCACCAGATGCTGCAATTCTAGATACTGTTGCTGAGGTCTGAATTCTAATCCCAGTTATTTCCACACAGAATTGAAGTATGTTCTCTAAAAATTTCCATGGGAGTCCGATGAAGCAGTTACAGCCTCACAATCATGCTGTCACTGGGTAATAACTCCTTCCCCCCAAACTACAATCCATTCTAAGCCTTTACAGTAAAACACAAGCCTTAAAAGAACAAACACAAAGAGCTCAAAAGCCATTACCCCCTGGGAATACCATTTCTTTTGTTGCAAATGCAGTCTTTGCAAGCAAGCTTCATAACTTCACACAGTTGGAAGAGTTGAGGAATTTGTGATTTTTGGACATTCAAGTACACCAGTGTGTTCTGAGGAACAGTGCAAACACTGAGTTAGTGTAGCCTTGACGAACAGATGGCAGGAAAAGTAAAACTGATGGTCAAAATCTGCTCAAAGCATAAAACAAGTACCTGTAATATGCCACGTATTCTTGGGTTAAAAACTAAATTTGAAAATTTACTCCTGTACTCAGATTGTTCTAAAAATAACGAAGATCACATTCTGAGCACATAGCTGAGAGCAGCACTCATCTTCATCAAACACCTTTAAGTGCTCACAAAGTGCAAACAGTGCTTTAAGTGGAAAGATGGGCTTGAACTGGTAACGCTAACTGCAACCTGCAAAAGTTCTAGAAGTACTGGTGTGATAGCACTGTTTGTTTCTGCTTCCACATCCGCTGGCCCCAGGAGAAGAAATTCAACTGTTTGAAAATTAACGCTAAAGCCTAAAATGAATGGGCCTTGTCAGATCATTTCACACAGAACTAGTGGTCACCAGTTCCGTGAACAGGAAGGGATAGCAGTATTGGGAGAGTCTGTTTAGGTACAAAAGAAAGCAGCCTTAACATTAGCAAACAATTAAGGCAATCTTAACAGCAGTATTGTGAGTAAAACATTGCATATGAATCTTTGATTTCTTCAGCTCATATTGCAGTTTACTTTTGCCTGAAGAATGTTGAATCAAAATATTTCAGCTTCAGAATGTACACAAGCATGGAGCATTCTGAGAATACTTTCTGCATACAGAACAAGCAGAAAAGAAAGTAAAAAAATGAGCTGAGCAATCTCAGCCTCATAGCTTCTTGAACAGGAGAGTTTCTAATGTAGTGCAGGGGAAGGGAATAACATCTAAAGACAGTAGATTCATTTGAATAATGAACTAAGAAACAAGTGTGAGAAAGTGAGACACCTCAGTTTTCTTACCCAGCTGACATTGCATCTGAGGGGCGAGACAGCATTTACAACATAGCAAGTTCTGTTAGATCAACTTTATTATGTTATCAAAGTACGACAGTAAAATATTCAAATTCTATTGACCGCATCCATACACAAAAAGGGCATAGAAAATGCTAGGTCTCAGAATATACGTTTCATACAAAATACTGTTAAACGTAGAGCAGCAAAGTCCTTGCCAAACATTCCCTGAATTTAAGAGGGCCTTGAACACACTGTGTTCCAAGAACTACCTTAATACCAAACATTCCTTCCTTTGGTCTGCTAGTCCTTTGCAATTATTGCTAGTTATTGAAGCCTTTTGTTTTTAAACAGAATCACATAGTGACTCTGAGCCTCCTCAGAAGTATTAGGATAAAAGCCCCTTCAGCGTTTTCTGTACATTTAGTCAAAGTGAAACACGTTTGGTCCTCAAGACTAATTTTGGTTTCTAAAAACATTCTAGAAGAATAAAACCAAGTGAGCGTTATGGAAAGAAAGAGAAGGTCCACATGTGTTAGGTACAAAAACATGTCAGTAAATTCAAAGATGTCAACTGTGCATCATGGCAAAGCAGCCAAGTTACTCCTTGTGAGTAACTGGTGCATGTCCCTCTTTCCTTAAAGATATAATACATCAGAACACTAACTCCCCACAAGAGTCTTTAATGCTTGAGCACACGTGGCTCTGCTCTGGCAGGCCTGTAAAGGCCTGCTAAATACTCTTGCCTTTTAGAGGAATGCCTCAGTTACCTGGTAAGCACTTCTCAAGGGGCTGAGTAAAGTGGTTCAGTTTCAGCAACCTGAATAATGTAACTTACTTGCTGCATTCCCTTTACAAGGGGAGCTCCATCCTAATATGCAAGAAATTGAAAATGAAGAGGCTGAAGATGGTCTAGTAGAAAAAAAATCTCAAATTGTGGATGTAAAACAAAACTGTAGTCTGTGGAATTATCAGGTCAGACTCTCGCCAGAAGCACTGGTTTGCACTAACACATGCACATTCTCAGACAACATAGTTTTATAGTAACAAACAATAAGAGACAAAACCAAGACCTGAAAAAACTTTTTTTTTTGTACCAGGATAACAGACAGGTTTAAGTAAACAGACTATCAGACTTATCTCCTCATGGACAGGTAAGGATAAATATAGATTAATTGTTCACAAGCTTTCAAGTAAAAAGATGTAGTTATCTGCTCAGCATGAGGTTCCCAGAATTAGAAAAGAATGTTTCTTTCTGTGCCCCCCCAAAAATACTGAAGTTTTAAAAAGACTCTTTTGGAATGACCTGTTTTGGATCTTCAAACTAAACTCATTGTCTGAGACTGAGAATGTGACTGACTGAAGTGGTAAGACTCTAAATGAAGCTTAGATACATTCTCCAGATCAGGTTAATAACAGTTCGCTTATGCTCTTCTCATCTTTCAGCCCTTTATGTCCATGTTGGTGGCACCAATTAAGCTTTCAGCTCTATTCATTTGAGTGCTTATTGACAGGCATTCTCTTTCAGCAAGAAAGATTATTAAAAGGGTGTTGTCAGTAATTTCTTTCTGTTGCAAGCCAGTAGTGTAGCAATTTATTAAAAAATAGAGTCAGACCACAGGAAGAGCTTTGTCTTTGAGCAGTCTTGGAACACACAGCTAACAGCCCTGCACATCATAGAACACTTGACTAAAAGACTTGTGTGCTTTCCCTGCAACCCTCTTCATTTCAGCAGTAACCAGTTACAAGTGACTTGGGACAGCACAGTTATTCTCTAGGAAAGTGTAGACAATATAGGTGCTGAACTGGGCAGGTGATGACATGACAAAATTCCTTTTTAAACATCAGGAAAATGCAGCATCATTTACAAGACGCAGGGAGAAAGCAAAGCTAAATAAGCAATTACAAACCTAGGAAGACACTTCGCTTATCTAGGACTCCAGCTCAAATTTTTTTTTTTTAGATTTACAAATGATTTCTGAATTACAATTTAAAGCTTTAAGGCTACCTCCTGTGCCAAAGTATTTGCATTTTACAAGAGAAGTTCAGACCTGTCATTTAAAAGTACCTTCATCTTACATGTGATGGCAGCAAGGATTTTACCAAAATAGTTATAGTTTTACCTTTTAGAGAACTTCAGTTCCTTAAGTAATGAATTCTCAGTATTTCTGATGAGTTTCTGAAATTAACCCATTTTTCCTGGAGGATCTAGCATTTTGAAAGCACTGGAAATTCTCTTTTGAAAGAGTGCAATCTAACTGTGTGACTAGTTTTGAACCAACAAAAGAGAATCTTTCAGTGAAGCCATTTCTCCCACAGTTGTACATGCCATGGCCCTTAGGCTATTATTTCTGTGGAGTCCAAAGCTGAAAGATGTTTTTCTAAACATTGAAAACAGTACTGTAAGAATGTAACATGTTATGTGTTTGATTATCTACACATTTAAGGAACAATACATCTCAACTTCCTGAAAATGCAATCCCTACTTGGCCAGTAATTGAATTAGAGGTTAATTATTTGACTGAGAATGAGGTTTGTATTTCATACTGAATTACACTGGTTTCCACTCCCTGCCCCAGTTCAGGAAGGTCACTTCATTTTTCATGAATACTCACCGTCCATTTCTACTGATGGTCATTTTCACTCAGAATTGCAATCCTGCACTGTATGCATCGTTTGCCAGTATTCAATTCTATTAGCTTTAATTTACGTGCTACTCCACACAGCAAAGCATTAACCACAGTTCAGCTTCTTTCCCTCATGGAAAATAAAACACTGTGAAAATCCCTTAGGCTACAGATTTTAAGTCATCAGGCTTTCAAGGTCAACAAACAAGCCTTTTTTTCTTTTTTTAAGCTATAAGGTACCTAAAATAAGCTTAAAATAATTCAGACATCATTGTTCCCCCCCTAAAAACCATAACAAAAGCAAGAGTGGATATGACAAAAAGATAGTACAGTACCAGACAGACCTCACACCCATTTTACCTAGTAGATACAAACATTTACAAACTAAGTTAATGGGCTGTGGGATCAGAATACACAAGACCCTTTGGGAAGAATTTGTATGGACTTCCCAAATTGTTAATATCCTTCCCTTGTTTTATGGGAGTGAGATTGTAATGCTTTCACCCTCCCACTCCAAACCCTTCAAAGATCACAAAGAAAATTATAAAGTATGTGCACAGGGCTGTGCAGTCTCCAAATGAAAGCTCGTATGAATACTGGACAACACTGGAGGCAACAAAACGCATATTTGACCAAGTTTTCAGAATATGAAAATACTATGAAACTTCATGAACACAAATCAGGGACAAACAACTGTTTAGGACACCAACCAAATCCTTGAACATAGTTTAAAAAAACAAAATAAATAATTCAAATATCTAAGTATCAACAGATCAAAAGGCATTCTCCCATACTTAAGGGAAGGCATCACAGGTGAGGAAAACAACTGTCAACAACATCACAAATTAAAAAGCAGCTTTTTCACGTATGAAATAGTAGTATCATTGGATAGCATTTGAATGTGTTCGTTTCCTGAAAGCTCAAATACCACCACTTCCTGTTTCTGCATGTCCACCCATTTTTGACATTGCAAGGCACTCTGTAAGTTCACTGTACCATCCCCATCACTGTAAATAATCTTGGGCTCTTTGTCAGGAAAGCTTTCGTAATGGAAGGAATCAGGTGTTTCCACACCAGTACCATAAAGACAGTGTATGCGTACGCCAGGTGGTATCATCTGGTAGACCAAGGGTTCAGTGTCTTGTCTCATGAGCCAGCCATCTTCAAAGTCAATGTCCCTGTAGAATTTTCTGTAGTCTCGTAGGGTGTAGTTAGCTGTAGGTGTGCTTACAAAGACCTTATCTGGAGGCCACGTGTAGTTGTAGGGGAGCAACCAATTTGTGGAAACAGCTGATCTCTGCTGGTCTCGAATTTTGAGTGAACTGATGACTGGTATTCTATTGTTGTCACCTTAAAAAAAGGAAGAATGTTATTACACACAAAACAATGCATGGATCTTGTGACCAGCAGCAATTAGTACCACTCAGCGACAACATGAGTAATCACTTTTTGCTTACAGTGAAAGTTTGAGGAGTTCCTCATTTATGACCACCTTGGTGATCATCTTCTGCAGAGTAATTTCTGGTAACTTACAATTTTATATAAAACTTAGTGGATGAACGCCTGACAGACAAACTAAGAGTACTGCTTCTATTCTGATAGAAGCATGTAGAAAGGACAAAATACTTCCTGCACTGGTCAAGTGAGAAATCAGCATTTCTTAGGAATTCCAGCATGTGAAAGTTTTATTTTAAATGTTATTCCAGAAGTATGTTTTATATCTATTCCGTACCTAGACCATGGTTTCACTGAAAGAAAAGATTACTATTTTAGACATGTAATAACTCTTGAAGAGATCTTGCAGGCTGAACATTTTTAGGTTTGCACATTCAAAACAAGCAGAGTAGTATTTCATTCAGAATAGCTATTAACCATACAGTGACTTTTTCTACAAGTTGGTGCAGAGCATTTCAACATGCACGCCCTCTGTAAAGAGATCTACCAGGACATGTCTACAGTTCAAGGAAAACAGGAGATTTCTGTAGTATAAAGCAGAGACAATAATTCTTGCTTTAAATACTATTGAGTAAGAATCTTAAGTTCCACAACTAATTCGGTCTCCTATCATGAGTCAGTGAGTTGATACTTCTTAGCATCTGGGAGAGACCATGGGATACCACCAATACCAGCATCTTCCATTCCAGTCAGCATTTCAAGACTGCTGAAACACTTGTATTTCTCAGAATATAGGTTTTCTGTAATATTGTAGCACTACTGTTTTCAAGCATCTCTTGTAATCTGAACTTTATCTTCACTTGGAAAACAACAGTTCTTCAAAGCCCAGTTAGTAACTACTTTATTTGAGAAAAGTTTTCACCTGGTCAAGCTTTAAGACTTTTAAAATTAAGTCTAGAGAGCTAAACTTTATGAACAATACATGTCTATATTACCATTTACCTCAAACAAAGTTGAACAATTTTAGACAGTTTAGACTTAAGACATAACTGTTTGACCAAAAAATTAAGAACAATATCCTGTAGATACGAAGGCTGTACATTTTCCTTGGCAGTTAGTGAATAAGTTATAATTTTTACCCAAGTTCCTTCATATTTTAACTATTCCTCTTGTCTTTCCCCATAAAAAACAAAGCCATTTATACATAGCACATAAGTGATTATGGAATTACTTAAGACTGACAGTCGTTCATGGTGACTGGCTGATCAGACTTATTCTCCATAATCATAATTGCTGGCACTCTTCAATTCATTTACTAGCTGAAATTGAATCAGGTTATTTCATTATTAGGTCCAGGGGGCTGCAACAGGTAGCAATTCAAATCAACTATATTAGAAAAACTCAAAGAGTCTCAAAACCAAAACCACTGTTCCTGAAATAGCACTAAAGTATGTATGTTTCAACTCCATAAGGTGGCACTATTGGTTCAGCAAAAGGACCTGAAGTACAGTTTAGTCTTCACTACCATTTTTAGAAGGACTGCATGGAGACATTACAATCATAATCCTGTCAAATGGACAAAGATGAAATTCAAGAGCACAGCAAAAAGGGCAAACATCCTAAGTTTGTTTCACATTGCTGTGCTGTATAAGTACCTAACTGTGCACACTCAAATTTAGCAAACACTATTTGCATGTTTTCCTCAAAAAAAAAAAAAAGTAGGGAATCTGCAGCAAGTTCATTTAATTCCTGTGGAACAATAAGTACAAAACCTGACTCTTTTCCAGCCTTTTCTTCCAGAACAGCTCATCAATGCTTAAGTCCTGCACTTTTCTCCTGAAGTGCAGAAGTACTGAGGTCGGTATCACACTTCAGTCAGCAGGCACTGACATTGTAGTGTATGAAATACTAGGTCTAAAGAAAAAACACTGTTAGCATCCCAAGCTGGCAACCAGAGAAAAGAATCACTGAACTCTGCATATGTGTCTGCCAGGGAGTGGAAAGAACAACTTTACTATTAGCAATAGAATTGTTATAAGCTCTGATCCTGTGGAGCACTTGAGTACGTAGCAATAAGCAAAACAAGATCCAGAGAAAGTAATTCCACCTCCTTACCACTTTAACAAAAACTGCAGCTTTAACAAGCTCCTGGTCATTTATATACTATAAACAGGAATAGGAGCAGGGAGAACATATTCCTGCTCGAAACCTTGCCTTGTCTTTCTAGCAATGCAGTAGTTTTTGCTCAAGTAACAACCCCTCTACATACTAGCACTCTTACAATTTCACAAGCTATAACTAGACTACCATCATCCGAACATGAACACCTATGGTGATTTTTTACCTGTGGATATTTAAGAGACGTAACTAGCCTAAAAATGCACATTCTGATACAGTATTCTGCCCACTTCAGTTTCCTATATCATTCTTAACTTTCTGCTCCAGAATCTGGAGTAATACCACAGACATGCAGATTGAGATTACATTTTACCCTAAATCTAACTATTCACTGTATATTTGCATAGCTAGCCATCTTGGATGAAACTCATAATGGATAAAATATGAGGCACAAAAATTAAATCCAGAAGAAATCAGACTGGAATTGTGTAGTCTTTTGGAGTTTTATGAAGGCAATTTTAATACTGCTTACTTCCTGCCATTTCCCACAGGCTTCATCTGACAAGTGTGTATGCTACAGAAAAGGTAAACCAATTTTTGACAGTGCCACTGCAGTTGAATTAATAATGTATAACTCTGTACAAATGCCCAGTTTAAGTTTTTGGATTTTGCATTAACTGAGTTGTGCACTCCTATTCAGAATCAAATTCCTTTGCTAAGCAAAGCATTCTTTTGATCTGTCCATGCATGGCTGGCAACTGCCACGTGCTCTGCATTTTGATCAAGTCCAGTTGCTGATTTCAGCTTTGTTTGGGAAGGAAGACTGATAAACAAAGCTAATAAATCAAAAGCAAATCAGACAACACAATTAAAATGCCAAAGCACAAAACATAGTGTTTTGCCATGAAATAATTACGGTATTACATGATCCACGTTATGTGGTAAGCAAGTTTCTGTTATTAGAGTTGCTTGGCAGAACATACTTTTCCCTATTAAAGTCAAAGGCATACCCAGCATTCTAAATGTAAGATCTCAGATTCATTTCCTTTTTCTGCAAACCTTGAACTTCAGCAGGCATCTGTGCTGTGGGCAGCACACCACTTCATCATTGCATCCACAAGTTTCCCTTTATGTTCAGCAGCTGTGTGATATTTAATCAAAGGGAACTATTGAATGATCTGCTGTTTGTGTCGGCTCAGCAAAACTGAACGGAGAACAATCATGCTGAAGGCAGAAGTGACAGAAACAGAAGGCACCAGGCCAAACAGCAGCTTGTCTCATCTGCTGTAAAGAAGTTAGGAGAATCAAGAGGAAGCACACAGCTCATCATTAGAGGATGTTAAGGCTTTGTCAATTCCATTCTTGTCCAAGACAGACAGTCAGGTTAAAGGGCTTGAAACCATAAAGGTGCGATCACCTAAAGACTGCTGTTTTTAACTTCATATTATCTTCAACTTTCATCCTCCATTTTTAGTATCATCCATGTTTAGTATCTTGCACTATTAAGAAAATACATTGCAAACCCTCACATTACATACCTGAAGCCAGCACACGGAGAGTTTTGGCCACTCCTCCCCATGGAGCACCTAATGACACGTAGTCTTTTATGTATTTGTCTTTCCATTCCTGAGTCTGATGGTTGAGGAAGTACAGGGTATACATATTACCCATGCTGTGGGCAATTAAGACAACAGGACTTCCATACTGCTCGTACATCAACTCTATCATCTTGCGAAGGGCCACAAAATAATCTCCATTCTCATCTAAATAAAATACACATTACATGGTTATAATCACTAAAGGTCAATGTTGTCCTTTAACACAATTCTTTACAAGGTTATATTCTGAAGATTCAAAAAAACCTAATGCTTCTTTACATCATTAGTTTACAAAAGGGTGAGTCTTTAAAACCTCTTTTGTTTCCCACATCTCTGAAACAAATATATTTGAAAAAGATCTCCAGTTTCTCCCACTTCTAAAAATAAATTTAAGCCCAAATTTTTCTCAGAAATATTCCATGCTAATGGAATAATGCTAATATTCTCCCACAAAAATCCATCCATATTCTCTAGAATCTACATTTTTTTCGCCCCAAAGAAGATAGGAAGTTGACAAGTCCAGAAAGACTTCTGAGTTGATGGAAAACAGAAGTAAAACTTGTTAGATCTAATAAAGGGTACATAAACCAGTTACCAGCTTATGTTAGACAATTTCTATCGGCAAGGTTAAGTGAGAATTCCAGCAGATTCCTGCTGGCACAATATGCTTTATCTCTATTACACATAATTAAATGAGCTATAAAAGTAAAGAATAAAGAAAAAAAAAAAAAAAAAAAAAAATCAATAAAATGCATTTCTGTAGCCCTGTAATAAGATACCAATTCAGTGTAACAACTGCAATATAACTTTGAAGTAGTCACATCAATAGCAAAAGTCAGCATTGTTGATTTTCTTCAAGCAATGTTCCTGGATGCCAAGACCACATGCTTCATTTCTGTGGGCCAAGGCAAACTTGATACTAGAATATTGTCATTAATAGTAGATACATTATTTCTTCAGTACAAGCTCACAAACTGTATGAAGAGTCTACAAATCACTTGTGCTCCTATGGAATATAATGAGATGAAGAATACAGAGGTCTAATACTTGAATAAAGATAGATTTAGAAAAACGTAGAAAGCCTTCTTCATTTTTGAGGACAAAATAATTTATTCCTCAGGATGTAATCACAGCAATTGCTGGATTTGGTGTGACATTAGAACCAGGAAAACTATGGTCTTACTGAAGTTCTATCTGCAGAACTGGTATATGCTGTGGTTAGAGATTGTGCCTCTGATGCACAGTGAGGTATGTGGAGGGTGTTCTTATGGAATTTTATAGGTTTCACTGGTTTGGGTTTTTTAGGCAAATCTTAAGTAGCAAATTGTTTAAAGCAAAAAAAAAAAAAAAAAAAAAATCATAGCAGAGCTTTTATGTGGGTTTAGGATATCCAGTCCTCAAGAGCTAATTAAAACTTGATGTTTTAATAAAACTGCATGGCTGGAATGGGGGAAGAGACCCAAAACTATCTGCTTACTGGAAGTGTCAAGAAAGTTTTGTTCAAATAAGACATTTACTTGGTGCCTTTCTCCAGTCATAAGGTGCTCCTCTTACATCTTCATCACGCTTGTAGCCCCAGTCTACTAAACTCTGCACCAGCATGTAGAAGTAACTGCCTGGAGAAATCAGATAAAAGAAACATAACAGCAAAATATTAGTGCAATGAAACGAGGCCTGGATGCATTACATCTGATTCCATATATACAGATACTGAAGTCCTAATGTTATGAATCTGACAATCGAGGATCCTGCATATTAAGCAAAATGAATTGTGCTGACTGTCTGCCAAAATTATTAAAGCTTCTTAACTGCTGTCCTATTAATCCACAACAAAACTTGTCAAACACAGCATTACTGGAAAAAAAAAAGTTACCCCTTCTACATCAGACCATTGAACTGTTTAAAGTAACTACCATAGAGTCATAGCTTATATTGATTGCAGATGAATTTCAGTTATGGTACATAATATATTTGTAAAGATTATCCCTGGTTTTGCCACCATTCAAATGAATTAAGCAACAAAAGCTGAAGGTATACGAAAGGGCAAAATTCTGGAACCACTAGAAATCCTTTTTCTAGCCATCAGTTCAGACAGACTGAAATGAGAGGCTTTTGTAGCAAAGGGAAACACTTGCAGACTGGCTGCAAGAATCTGTTAAGATGTTGTATGTTACGTGTTTTGAAACAGGATGCAAGTATTACCACAATTAAATTGCATCTAGTAACAGCATAAGAAGTGGAGCATCAAAACATCTTGTTTATTATCACAGCCATTTCAACATTTTGAACAATGCCTCATTTGTTAGTCTTGATTGCTTATATAGTCCCTGACACAAACAGAAGCAAGTTTTAAATATGACTCTGTTCTTACAAGGATTATCAAGTGCAGGTCACAAAACACAGTAGTGCCCTTTTAAAGGCTGCCTCTAAGGAAAAGAAATACATGCAGTGCAAGAGGGCCCATTCTACAGTGAAGCTTAGCACCTAGCTGGCTATAAAATTACATCAGCCACAGCTAACAGTTCCTGGCAAGGTTACCAGCATTTTCTGAAAGATGACTTCTGCAAAAGCAACACTAAAAAGCCTACAAACAAAATAACGCAGAAATATTTTTCAGCACAAATTTAACTATGTAAATATTCTGACACCAACGAGAGGTGAGCGGTTGGAACTGGATTTTCCTTAAGGTCCTTTCCAAGCCAAGCCACTCTAGGCTCCCATTTCCACCCAAATCCTTCAACTCATACTTGACACCAAATAACACTGCTCAAAACTAAGCAGAAAGTGTTAGCATGTGGTATTTTGCTTGTCAAGCTTAAGTCACAGGATTTTTTACTCCATCTCATTTTCTAGAGCATCTTCAAGATGCCCTTCAAGCTTCATCCAAAGGCCTTCAATCCCACACGAGAATGAGCAGTTTTCCTGTCTCAGTTCATCAGACTAAGAGATGAAATGACATACAATAGAAAAAGCAAATGAAAAGCAAAGTGAGCTATGTGCTGCTCTTGTACAAAAAAAAACTATTGCTACTTACAAACAAAACTATGCAACAAGCTACAGAAATGTGATTTCAAATTAAAGGACATACCATAAAATCCTACAAGTGACAAAGATTTCAGACACAGCTTCTACATACCAACGCTCCTTTTACTTGGATCAAGGAATTCCAAGGAAAATGTCTGCCCAAAACCTGGAACTCTGATATCCACTCCATCTGGTGGTTCTGTTACTTTGCTTGTTCTATTATATACCAGCCTAGAGGAGAGGAGACAAACCATGAAACATCATATAACCATATGACAGCTTTTAGCTGTGTTGGGCCTTATATTCTGAGTGCAGAAACAAAAACTTCAAGTACAATGACCAATAAGTAAAAGAAAACAGTGTACTCTAATGGCTAAGCAGTTACACAAACAGCCATTTTAAGTTTTTATGCCTTGCATGCTGAAGACTTACCTTCCTTGTAGAACAGGGCATATAGCATTACAACCGGACTTCAGTTTTGGAACAGTACAAGCTACTTAGTGTAGTTCTACACCATTTCACTGTGCATCAAGCCACAGATTGGAGAAGGTTGTTTAGAATGTAAAAATGGAGGTGAGGCTGTAGAAAACATACCTCCAAAAAGTCAGGTAGTAGACAAAGTCCCCTACTTAAAAATAATTCATTTATGTTTAAATAGACCATTCTGTTTAAATAGACCCCATGAAGTACTAAGGAAGCTCTTGAAATTTCTTCACTAGTAACAACTAGTGTCTCATGAAGCAGAGGTACGCAGTGTGCTGTATTTTAAAAATCCTCTTGAAATAGGAAGAACATGGAGGGTCATTGGGGGGCAACTGGGGCATTTTGCTTGGTTGTTTTAATGCTTCATCAATGCAACTGCAGTTCCTGAGCACTTTTACCCCCACATGAAGGTCTGACAACCTGAATTGATGCTCAAATCATCACTCACTCACACACACACACACACACACACAGTAAAGCAGAGGTATTATTACACACCCTTCCTCCCCACAAACTGCAGGCTGTGAGAAATGGAATTTAAAACTTAAGATCTATTTTACAGCAGCTCACAAATTTGAAGATCTTTAATTACCATTCTTCCATCTTCCTCCTCCCTGCCCTTGGTTATTTTATTTGATCAATCTGTTCATTCTTTCAACAGAAAGCACTAAGCAGCTACGAAATAGCAACACAGAATCAGTTTCCTATGTGCACAGTCATGTGATGAAAGCTAGTTATGAAAGCTACAAGATGTTACCTTTAACAGAAGGAACATGGATAATCTAAAATATTTTCAGCCAAAAAAAGCAAATGACATCCCTCTGGCATTCTATTTATATTACAAAATATATTTGGGTCCATAAGTTTATGTTTCTCAGAAAGCTACAGGCAGAGATTTGCTCAAGACATAGCATTACTCAGAAGAGGCTAGGATCAAAAATTACTTTGAAGCCACACAAAGTTGAAATTGGAAAATGAGTAGCATGAGATTTTTAGAGGTTTCTAGTGGGAGAACTACCTTCCCCCCGTTCCAGAAAAACAATTGCTTATTGCAGAAATATTACTTGCACACATGTCAAAACACACAGACTAAGGGGGAAAAGCAGCCTCTAGATCAATTTATGCTGTATGTCTTTATAAAAGAAATGCATCCCTTCATGTCATAGTTAACACTGCAGTGCCTGCAACCTGGGACCTCCAGCAAGTACTCATGTTTATCAGTTCTAGCCACAGGCAGAGACATGCTTTGACTCCTGAATTTCCAACTTTGTTGGAACTCATTCACATTGCTGCATTGTTGAATGTGTTCATGCACTACTCTTGAACGTATTTTTGTTTTTCACATTCTGCTTTCCTTGAATGCTCAATATGGATGTCCATAAACCAGAAAAGAGTTGCTGGGGATTTTGCCTAACCAGGAGGAGCAAAAGTGTTTTTGAGGGGGCGCTGCTACACTGTCTTTCCATACTACAGAAGGTTATAGCAATTGAATTTCATTATTGAAAGAGTCTTTTAATTGATAGTTGCTATACTGTGATTTTCATTATCACCCCAAAAAAGAGAAAGGGATTTAGGACTTCAGTCTCATGTCAGTGCCTTTTGTGTGCTATGAGTTTGTCAAATCCATAACCACATTATCAAAAACTGTGGGAGTCTGTAAAGATACGTTAAAATTAAACTGCCACCAAGCTCAATACATTCAAACAAAAGAACAACATGCTGGTGCACTGTTTTTCCAATTGCACAGGCTAAACATTTCTTGTCTTAAATATGTTTACAATTTTTACAATAAAATAGTCCAGAAACTTTTAATTAGACAATTTGTATAACAAAATAATTAAGGAAAGACTTCTAAACTGCACTTAAAGGATTCCACACCTCAGCTGCCTATTGAAATTGCTCTCTAATGACAGTCTGGGGAAGTACAAGTTCTCATTCCTCCAGTCTCTCCTCCGAGCTACCCATTGCACCTCCTTCCCACTTACCTCATCAAAACTTAAGTAACTCATCAAAGCAACAGAAAAAGTTCTGCTTTAGATAAGCCTACGGAAGCCTGCTAAGTGCCCAAACCAACACACAGTAACTGGTAGCAGAGGGAGGTGGAGGAAATGAAGAATCTGATTTTCAGCACTGATGGCAAGTACCACAGTTGCAAAAGCCACATCCTTCAGTTCAGCCTGCTAGTCTACCCAGCAGAACTCCCTAGTCATTTCTCACTGGTCTTGAACATGAAATTTCAAGGTGGAAGCTGTGTACCATCTATGTCAGTCTAAGGGAAGGAGAAAACTGCAGAGAGCAACAGATGCAGTCTTACCTGATATTGTCAATCCAACAGTCAATGATGACAGGTAGGAGCAATTCTAAGTTCAGCCACAGTGTAAAGTAACTGTCAGTCTTCTTAGAGCAGAGATAGTGCACTACTGATGGCTTATCTAATTTTGCTTCCAACTGATTACCTAAGTCCCCTGGAACTGAAAAACATGAAAAGACACTAAAATGTAAGAGTATAACAAATTGCATCACTGCGGTTCTCATATGCAACATTGCAGTGCTCAGAGACAGTTTGGTAACTGGATGAAAATATTACCTAAGAACATATTGCATTTTTATTTTTCACTGAAAAGATTTCAGTTTATAGAAGCATGACCTGCAGAACCCCTGTGTAAAATAACCCTGGATCAATAGTTCCCAGCTTCAAAGAACAGATAGTATAAGATCAGGTCAGGTTAAGGCACAGATATGAAAAACATCTCAGCTCTTATCAGAATCATCTGCTTTAAAAAAAAGTATTTCTGAAATATTTTTTTTCTGGGTACTACAACTGATTGTTGTTCTGTACTTCAAGAGATGCCTACAAACTATTAATCTGACAAAAGTGTGAAAGCAAAGTAGATACAAAAAGTTACATGAAGTTATCACCTCTTATTACACTTTGATTACAAAAAATTTTGTTGGCTACTAATATGGCATATTAATCCAAATACAACATTTATCACTTACATTCAAGTTTGGATGCAACAGTTTGTATCTTATATTTGTAATACATTATTGATGTAATGGAAGAGTACTTGGAAGGAAAGGTCTTCTATTTGCACCTTCTCTCAAGTGTACTGTTTTTAATTTAGCATACGATAAATGCCAGGGTTCCTTTAAGTTTTATTGTCTCTTATTTTAAACAGAAAATACAGACATGAAATTCTTATTTCCGAATTCAAACTAAACTTCTGAGAAGTTTTAGGAGCGTTTCTTATCTCCAGAGGAGCTTCCTGCATTTCATTGTTAAATCATTTTCAACTCTCAAGAACCAGGAAAGCGAAGATGCTTCAGTAACTGAAAGCTTTCTCTGCGGTAGGAAGAATTAGAAGATGGGCACTTTAGTGTTCCCACCCCCCAGCTCTCTTCCCCTACCTTTCAAGATGCTCCTCCCTCCGCCCAATTTTTTTTCTTTGCATGTGCACAACTGCATGCTGTTGAAGTTTGTAGATGCAGGCCCACCCATACAGTTGCTTTTTTCCCCCCTCGCTTTGCTAACTTGAATCAAAGCAATTTAAGTTTTCTATACCCCTTAAAGCAAGAGCTTTAAGGAAGATGCTGCCTTTCAGTGAAACAGCTAATTTAGCTGAAAAGCCAGATATGGTTTCAGAAAAGTATTTACTGCAGAACTGAAAAAGAACAGAACTTGGGGCTAAACAGAGAGTGACAATCAGACTCTTCCCACTTCAGCTCCTGTCACAAAAGATATACCTCCGGAGTTCCTCACTGCCTACCCCACCTTCTCATTAGGTTTTTAGTGTTTTTATTTCTGTAGTCTTAAGTGAAACGTTAAAAGCTCCAGTAGCTGACCACAGTTTATTTTAGGTCATATTTCAAGGACACTGATATACTGGAAAGCATAATAAGGAAGATTATAGCATTGCATCACACTCTAGAAGAAGTTTACTGAAGTTCAGTCTTGTAACCTCAGAAAAAGCTGTTTAGTTATTGGTTATAGAACTATAAGGCAACAGCTTGTTCCACAATCTTGTGCCTGTTCTGGCTGCTGTATCAGCACTCTCAATTACAGGAAGAACGGAATGTAATTCTATTTATATCAATCATTCATGGCTGACCAGCTTCAGCAGCAGACCTGCCAAGGACAAACAGGTTGATTTTGTGTTCAGTTCCAATGCAAAGTGAGGTATACAGGTGATTGTTTTACCTTGGAACTCATTACATACTCCTTTCAGTAAAAATCAAATTCTTCCAGCAAAGACATTTCAAAAGCTTAAATAAGCACCTGCAATATTATTTAGAGTTTTAAGAACATAAGTTTCCAAACAACACAAATAATTGTGAGCACGCTTGCTTGGAGTAGGAAGGCTCCCAACCCTGAAGATCATTACAAATATACATTTATAAACAAGAACATTGAAAGCAGGAAACTGCACGGAGTCTCCCTTGGACCTATAGGAGTGGTTTTAGATTAACTGCAAGTTTAATTTGGTTTGCATATTTTCTCGTCAGGCTTCAAGGAAAGAGGCTGTATTCATGTATTCAATGCAAAAAAGAGAAACATCTTGTCCTAATTTTTAACTCAGGGAATGACAACTGAGGTTGGTTAACAGAAGTGGTACTTCTATGTAATGCTAAACAAAAGCTAAGAAACAAGTCCCACCTGCACAAAGATATGATACTTCAGTTCAAGTGTCATGTAAAGGTATGATGTCTGTTTATAAAGCAGATATTAACACCAGTGTCTTTGTCATGTTCACGTGTTCATATTGACAGTGAAGCTACTAATCAGTGTAAACTCACAAGTAGTGAGTTATTTTCAAATCTATATGCTGCAAGCTAAAAAGGATTGGTGATGAAGCTATAGGGAACAAAGTACAAGTTTTGATTTTCCAAATTATGTAAAGAGCAAGCAAGATCTTCAGTCCTCACCCCATGCAACTTAAGGGTGTTAATGATTTACATTTTGGCTACAGAGCTACTTAATCACTTTTTGAGAAGTAACAGGTTAGAAAAGATCACACTGAAGATGAATTCTGTAGGACAAGGACTCACCTTTTTGAATTTTCTGTGATAGAATTTGCAAGCTGTAGAAAAGAACATTTCCCTCTGCTTTTAGTCCATACACACAGAACTCCAGTTTTTCTCCTCATCCTCACATCTCCCAGTACCTACGGTTTCTAGGTGGTCTTAGAAAAATATTACAGGAGTTTCTTACTTTTTAGAACCTGCAGACTGCCTCGATACCTTTACAAAATAACTACCATATGAAATGCTGCAAAATACAGCATCACAAGTTAAAAGAAAAAAAAAAAAAAAAATCAAGCATCCAAGGAAAGATCTCTCAGTACCCTTGCTTCCCTAAATTGCAACTTGAAATGCATGTGTTAACTAATGAACTGCTACACTTGGAAACAAAACAGTTTCCTATTGAGCATTTCCATCAGATTTGATGATCACTGTCTGCATATTCTATTTTTCAGAAAGATTAATCCCAACAGAACCCATCCTGATACACTGACAAACCCAGTTCACTTCAATGTTACAAAGTCTCATTTCTGTGTCGCTTTTTTCTTTGCCTCAACTGCACTAATAATACTACCAGATCTCCTTCTGGAATGCATTTTTGTTTAAGCTTTATAGAAAACATATTTACAGATTTGAAAGCCTAGAAGAGGCTACAACTTCTCCAAATTCAGAAATTAAAACAATTAGCTTTAGGATACATTGATACCCCTACTGAAGAATTAATGACTAACAGTTCCCATTAGGGAGCAATAAGCAAATTGCAATCTGGGAAGCAACTTCCCTGAATAGTCCTCTGCAAACTTAAAAAAAAAAAAAACCAACTAAAAAGTACCAATATAATAATAAGTGAAAAATAGCAAGTCTATGTCTGTAGAGCAAATAATCCACTGTATATTTTTATTACATTTATCTGAAGTACAAATTCCTTTGGATAAAAAACAACTATCAAACATTTCTCACAGGTTAAAACTTCCCTCAAATAACTGTCAAGTTTTTAGTTCCAGACATTAGCCCTCCTCCAAACCAAACTACACTTCCTTAAAAATTGATTTGGAATACTGACTGCTGTTCTTCAGGTTGAATGCCTCAGTTGCTAATGGAGTCAGCAATACAGTGCTGTAGAAAAGGCTTGTGTTTAAAATTAGGAACAAGAAAGCAAACAAGATCTCACATGATACTTCTAGATACCTCAGATCACATGAGGCATAAACAGTTAAATCACTGCTGACATCCAGCCAGCTGACCACACAAACACACACTCCTCAATTAGCAGTCAGCAGGAATTCAGACAAACCTCTTTTGCATGTAAATCAATTATTAACACGCTTCATTTAGGCATCTTTCTAGAAAACTTTAGCCAAGTACCTAACAAATTGTTTGCAGAAGGTATCAGAACATTGATATAGTAATTGTGTTGAGTCAGCTCTAAAAGGTAAAGAGTTCAGTGAATCCACTGCTGATCTTATAAGGACAGGTTATCAGCCCCCAAAATTGATAAGGCATAAGATAGGCCATCTACCATCACTGCATGCCGTGTGAGAAAACGAGGTGAGAACAGCCACAGAACATAGGAATTTCTTATTAGAAGACAAGTGGAATAAGTATATAACTGAACTGATAAGAAGAGTGCAAGATTAATTCTAGTAGTGTGTAAACATGAGGCAGGTCTCTCAAAGCACTCGTACAGAGATTGTTTTTGGTTTTTTTGAGATCGATACTGTCAATAGAGCCAGGTGTTGGATAGGTTATCTTGTTTCTTTCAGATTTCCCAGTATGAACACACTGTCCTGGAAGAATACAAAGTCAGAGAAAGCGTGAAAACAATTCAGTATTTTTTTTTTTTTTTTTTCAATTAAGTAGCCCTGCCTTCCCTAAAAAACCTGAGGGTTTTCTCTAAAACTAACTCTAAAACTATCAGCTTAGGTTTTAGTCAACCTTGTCCCGAATACAAAGCTTTTAGGCAAGACTCTGGAAGTAAGGTTTTGACTTTTATCGTGTTTATTCTCTATTCGACTACGATGTGAATAACCTTTGATGCTTTATTGAAATATCAGAGAAAGCGAGCAATTGCCCTAGAGTATTTTGCTTTCTACTTGTGTCATTTTAGTCCCCGTTCTTTCTACCTTTGTATGTACAGGCATGCTCAGCAGACATTAGCTCCTGCTACTAAGGCACCATTTGATGGTGCACAGACCAGCATTTCCCAAAGGAAACAGCTTCACTGCTGTCCACATGCCTCCACACGTGCCAGCTTCTTTTCCATTAAGGCAGTTCAAGTGCAAAACTGCTCACTTCTTCCTCAGCAGATTAGTTTTCTAGTGCTGTAGCAGACAGATGACTCCACAAAATGACCAGTAACTTTGCACAAGGAAAGCAGGGAGAGCACTAATGAGCTATTAGCTTGGCTTAGCTATTTTACAGAAGCTCACTTCAGCTAGTTAGACAGCTCTACATAGAGCTGTGATCTGTTGGCAATTCAGAAACTAATGTGTCAGTAGCTACAGCCAATTGTTACAGGGTTATATTCAAGCAGCTTATCTGCTTTCAGATTAGAGAGGCTCAGAGGTGTTTGTTGTTGTTGTTTTTGGGTTTTTTTAGTATATTGCCTAGAGAGCAAAACATTACACATATAATAACAGTGCCCCATATTTACAAGCTGTGGCTGAACTTCCTTCTCCATTACTTGAGTAAGCGCAGGTTGCAGCTGCAAGTAGGGTCATTACAGGAAAGTGTTGAGAACAAGTTACACTGGGTCTTATGACCATCATTGGTCTAAAATATTTATGAAACAATCATTATGTTAACAACATTCCTTTAAAAAGCATTCCTTCCTTCTTTTAGTCCATAAGACCAGATGGCTAACTTGCCACAGAGTACGGTAAGATCTCAACTCCTTTTTCTGCTTAAAGGAGTTCAAAACATCCAAGCAGACCAAGAGGGAATACTCAGATCATGAGACCACATTTACTACAAATCACACGTAAAATTGAAGGCATATGAAGAACTGAGAGTCTAGATGCCAGCCTGATAAATTGAGAGGATCAATTCCACATACCCACCTCACAGTGACTCCAGAAACACCTCAGGCCTGCACTGCTCACATAATGCAGCCTGCAGGTACCTCAGCCTCCTCTGCATTTGGCACTCTGGTGCAATGTGTGTTTTTCACCCCTCTCCCAAACACCTCTGTTAAGCCAGCACTTAGAATGCCTCCCTAAAAAATGATTTCTCTTAAACCTTTCTGCCATCCTCATCACAGTAATTCCTAAAAAGCTTATCTCAACATAACATGTCACAGACACAAGAAAGGTGAAGAAAAGGTCATGAAAAGCAAACTAGAAGCAAGATGGAAACATGACCGACAGTCACTCCTTCTCCTCCTTTATTTGCTTGACCTTCACTTGCCATGTCATGTCCAATTGAAGCTAAGCTCCTGGTGCAGGTGTTTTTTTTTGTTTGTTTTTACAAAGACATTAATTTATACGCATCAAAAACTTCATGGGATTCTGCAACAGCAAATTATAGCAGGTCAATGCCTAAGAGTGCCTACGCTCTCCGAACACACAGAGAAGCCTGAAAAATGATGCTGGTTGGAAACACTGAATCTTCACTTTCTGGACAGGCCAGGACCAGACAGCAAAGAAGAGCATATTTTAAGACACAGCAGTAGAAGATGCAAGTTAAATACTGTGTGATAAAAACTCAACTTTAAGAGCAAGAAAATCTGTTTGTTTTTTTTAATCCATTCACTGATGTATCTGTACTCAGCCACACAGCATTAACCAGAACTTCTCTTATGGATACATAGATCAGTCACTGCTTTTAAAACCACTCTTAAGTAACGTATAAGCTTACAATTCATCCATCAGTAGCAACTTCATGCTGCTATATTCAGTATTCCCTTATCCCAATTGCTTCTAAATCTTCTTTGATCCCTTCATAGCTAGAGCAGAATATCGGATCAGCAACAAAAACACTCTCACCTCTGTCAGGAAGAAGCTTGCCACCGAAGTAAGCACCAAGGCTTATTGCTAAACCCAGCATTACGCAGCAGAGAGATGGGATAAAAGATTGCTTCCAGCCTTCAGGGACAGCACTTAGAGAACTTCTGCTCACATTTCAACTCCAGCCTCCAAGGAAATCCTGATTTCTTCTTCTGAATCTGCATTCTCTCAGCTAGCTCAGCCATCTACTATAGCTGTGAGCTCACACACAGCACACTTGGCACACGCACAGTGCCTCTTGAAGAATTCTTGGTCAGCAGTTAGTCTTCCCTGACAGAAGTTTGTAGCAGCACTAACAGTCAACAACAGAATCTAAACTACTGTATACAAACAGAGCTTAATGCTAACAGCATTCTTAATGTTCTTCTATTTTCTTACCCTTTTTCCTCTCTTTATCATTGCTGTTATTCATGCAGTGAGAACACAGAGCATATAGAACATGGCTACAGGACTGACCGTTCACATCAGTCAACCTGAGCAGTACGTGGGAATGCTTGGGGACTACAGCTTCAGCAGACAAGTTGTTCAAACAATTAAGATTTATTTATGAGCTTATCAATGGACGCAGAGAGCAGCTGACATTTAACTCCGTAGGACCTATCAGACACACAGGTTCTGCGTATTTGCTGTGAGCTACCGCGCGTTCCCGGCAGCACAGGCCGGTAACACTCGTTGCCTGCGCAGCGCTCTGAGCCAAGCGCGTTGTTTCCAGCCGCTCGCAGTGAGCGCGGTAACACGCAGCCGCCGCTCCCCACGGACCCCCGGAGCGGCGCTCCGCGGGACCGGGGCGGCCGGCGCTTCCCGAGCCCGCCGTGCCCCGCGGCATAAACGCGGGCACGGCTCCGCTCCGCGCCCGCCCCGCGCCGCCCCCCGCCCGGCTCTTACCCAGCACCACGGGCGGCCCCACGGGCCGGCGGCGCGGCACGCACCCACCGCCGGAGCAGAGCAGCAGCAGCAGCAGCAGCAGGCCGAGGAGGGGGCCGCTTCCCGGGCGCGGGAGGAGCCTAGCGCCGGCCGGCGGCACCATCGCCCCCAGCGCATAACCACGCGGCCGCCTCCGCTCCCCTCCCGTCGCTCCGCCGGGGCCGCCGCCGGAGTGCGGCCCCGCCGCCCGGCCCGGCCTGAAAAGGGCTCGCCCCGCCCCGGCCGCGGCCGGTCCCGCCCCGCAGGCGTCACCAGCCGAGCGCGGAGCCGAGCGGGGATCGTCGAGTCGGGCTGCCGCTCCTCCGGCTCCGCTGGTAGCGAGGTGCGGCTCCGCGGCGGCCCCTCGGTTCCGGGCCGCGAGATGAGAGAGGTGCTGCGGGGCGGTGGGTTCGAGTCGCGCCGCTGCGTGCGCACTTGTGCGGTCGTGGTGGGTCCTGGAGGTGAAGTGAGGGGCGTTTCGTGTCAGACTTGTGCATAAACTTAGCACAGACGTGCGGTCTGCGTGTTTTGAGGAAAAGCAAATAAACCTTAGGATAGCTGCAGCTTTTCTCGTTGCAAAGTCACGGGATGAGTGCCAGTACAAAAGCAATGCAGTGCTTCAGGCGACGCCTGGCTAATGCAGTGGCTAATTGGTTCACGGTATCGTTGAGGCCAGAAATTTGGCAACACTCAAAAAAAATCATTAGACCTTCACACGTGTAACAAGAACAGGTGGACTTGTAATTACAGGGTTTTAAAGCCAGAAGGATGTAAGCCTTTGTGGTTGGTCCGCAGCAGTTAGTGGAAGCTGCCCATTCAGAGTGAGGTGCGTGTTGGCTACTGGTGGAGAGGAGCAAGGGTACCCATACAAGCAGAAACTGAACAGAGGAAAGAAAAAATGGTGCCCAGAGTCACTGTGATCACAACTCATAGCCAGCTGTGATCCTGGGAATGAACAAGATGAACTTCCTTGCTTCACTCATACATCCACTCCACGTTCTGAGCCAGGTGTTCTTGCTTCGTGTTCAGGGAAAAGCTGCTGGGGTCTTTTTGCAAAAAGGTCTCTGTAAAAGTCTGTATTCCTGTGTGATGCTAAATTGCAGAAATATGCCTTGAATGGTTTACGTACTGATGTGAACAGTATCTCAAACCAAGAAATCAGTGGGAGATACCAGAAATCTGTAGATGTGGAATGTAGAAATGCAATGTAGAAAATTACTTTTCATTGGCTTATGTAATTCAACCAGCTACATGCATTATAAGGTAGAAAAAATGAAGCTGTTCTTGCCTCATTGAACCAGCATTCAATGTTTGTAGCTGCTGCAAATAGAGGCATCAAAAAGATGCACATGAAAAACAGGCACGCAGCCTATTGACTGGAATTGAGAAAAATGGGGTGGGGTTGGGGATGGTGTGGCATTAACATGGAATGAGGACGACATCTTTCCTCCTGAAATAAGACAGGGGAAGAAAATGCAACGAATCACTCGAGGAAGCTAAGGCCAAGTCTAAATCTAGGATCGTGTTTTTCCTGGCATCTGCCACACCTGTTGTATTTGTGCTAAGGGAAGAGATGACAACATCCAATACAAGCAGAGGCCTTGGTCTGTCCAGAGACAGGTGCTTAGTCACCACACAAGTGGTGACTTGAAATGACCTCCTGCTAAAACAAACTACAGGGTGTGTAAGTATTACAGACTGTAAAACTGCTTGCAACACTGATCCTGGTGTAGGAATTAAATGTTACAAAATGCAGTGCAAGACCTTATGGAAAGGCAGAGCAGTGTTTAAAGAAAGCTGATCTCAATCAATTGGTCCTTCTGTCCTTCTCCCATATTGTTATGTTCAGTCCAAACCACCAAAATGCACATGACTAAGTAGTCAGGCCAAGATCACTTGTGTTGTAATATGAGGTTCAAATAATGCCACCTGTCAAATCCTCTCTTACCCCTCTTGGTTTCCCCTGGGTAGAAGCAGAGGCAGTTTCTGAACAGATTTGCTGTGCCCTTTAGGAATGCAGATATTTTGGTGTGCTTCTGTTTGTTAATTTGTTTTGTCTTAGTTTTTTATTTCAACTTCTAAATGTTGAGCAAGCTCACTGCCTGTTGTATATCTGACTTATTGTAACCTTGTTGCCTTGTTGCCATGTAGCTTTTCTGATGTAAGCCTCTGAGAGCGCAGGCCTTTTGATTTTTACTATGAGAGTGGTGAGGTGCTGGAACAGGATGTGGATGCCCCGTCCCTGGAGGTGTTCAAGGCCAGGTTGGATGGGGCCCTGGGCAGCCTGGTCTGGTATTAAATGTGGAGGTTGGTGGCCCTGCCTGTGGCGGGGGGGGGGTTGGAGCTTTGTGATCCTTGAGGTCTCTTCCAACTGGGCCATTCTGTGATTCTGTGATCCTGAACACCTCATTTCTCAGTGTTTACCAATGTGGCATTATTTATGGCCTTGATTATCAAATGTGTCATGTTTGTAACCCTTATTTTATTAATTCTGTACAGATGTTTCTGTACTCAATTCAGACAAGTCTTGATATTTCTGTTATGAATCCCTGCACTCTTCTAACAGTAGGGAGTATCCTCACCTTTTCCTCTTATTTTTCTCCAGGAAAAGCTTCCTAAGCACGTAATTGCTATTCCTTCTGTGCAAGCCCTGGTTCTTTAGATAACAGTCTCTCAGTTGATGAATCAAGTACCATTACAATTGCTGCTTTTTTGTTGCTTCCTTTTGGGAGATCGGTACTATTAACACTGGAAAACAAAGCAAACAAAGCTCCTTGTCTTTATAAGGTTGTTTAAATACTAACAGCAAGTTTCTGTTTTCACACTGAATGCCCAGCTCCTTTGATGTTAAGAAATAGGAAGAACCAAGACAATCTGCGAAGCCTCTTAACGTTTCTTTCCACCAGTTAGCTGATGCTCTGCAAATAAGTGATGCAGTGTATTTCCTAGAAGAGTAGTCCTCCTCTGCCTCTACAAAGAACGACTTGACAGCAGGACATTCACAGAGAACAGTTCAGGACCATGATGGTGCACACTCACACAACAGAATTCTACTTGTCATAATTCAAGGAAAATGTAATAAATATCAGAACCAACTACAGGTCTGAACTGACTGAAGTGCCAGCAGGCTTATTTTTGGAAATGGTACACTCTACACTGCTTCCTTCATGTGCCTCATATTAAAAACTGTCTGGACATGAAAAAGGAAGTTGTTAGAATTGAAAATATTTGTGAAAGCAGTAAGACGCCTTTATCACCTTTGTATAAGAAAAAATGTATATTCCAAAGACCACTTTATTTTTTTTTTTAAATCACTGTAGAGAATTCTTCTTGATGTGTATAATCAGCATGCAAAATATTTTTCTTTCCAAACAAACAGCAGAATTAAACTAAATTAAGCGCAGAAAATGAGAATATCAGTACCATTATCTTTGTTTAAGATTCTTTGAGGGCTTAGACTGGCAGCTTGGCAAAAAGGATGAACTGAATATGAGTTTGCAGACTAGTCATTTAAAATAAACGATCCTTTCCAGAAACGTAGTATTTACTTACACACCTTTTATTTGACTGAGCAGAATTCCCTGTTTGCCTCTGATCCTTAGCATTTAAGCAGTGCTTGTATTGGCTCAGATATTCCCAAGCATGATTGCACTGTGCTAGACACACTACTGGAAAAGCAGCTTTATCCCAAAGATACACGTTCATAGCAAATAAAGATAATGCACAATAGGAGAAGGAATACACAAAATAAATGATTAACATAATAAGAAACTTCATTATAAACTGTCTACAACTGAGGTGATTTTAAAAGAAAGATGTAAAGGTGACCAAGACACTGGCCCAGGTCTGCCCTGTAGGCAGAGACCTGTGTCAGTGCTTTCTCCATTATTACTGTGTTTCATTGAGAAATGTATCAAGTTCAGAATATGTTAACAAAATCCTCACCATTCAGGTCTTTCAGTAACATGCTGTTTTAACTTCTATTGCTTCACAAGATTTCACCAGCCATCCTAGTTTTTGCGTTTGAATTTGCAGCAGTAAAAATTACCCTGGGATGCAGAGTCTCACCTTAATGGAAACGTGAGTAGTAGAATTTGAACATTCTCAAAAGTCTCATAGACAAGAAGGAAGGTAAAAGATTTAATTATATTTACAAAAAAAGCCCCAATATTGTGGTGTGCTGCAGTGGTTTGCTTTAGTCATCTTCCTCATTGCTGAATGTACAGAAAACATCTGCTGCTCATCTCATTTTTTCCTGCAGACTTTACTATAACATCCCTTCCTGAATTCCCCCACATGTTCTTTGGAAAATACTGTGATAGGATCTGTGATGTCTCTTTTCCTCTACACAGCTAAACATCGTAGACTAGCTCAGGTGTTCTGCTTTATAAACAAGCTATATTCATTCTCACAAGTTTGAACTCATTCCTGAGTCCTGGAAGGAATCAAGATCGCTAGGGAGAAGCCAGGCCTGTAACCCATGCACCCTATGAACCAAACATATATACTGGACTTAGGAAGATTGCTACATTTAATTAGTTTGCCACAAGTATTCAGATTCCATAGGGTTCACTTTCAGAATGTCCACACATGTCCACTTTCAAACATCATTAGAAAATAGAGCTTTTCTTAAGGAGGTTGCCAAGTTTCTCCCCCTAGTAATTCTGTCTGTAGTGCGAAGATTTCTAGAGCTCCTTGGCACAACAGATTTACCCTCCTACATTGTTCTGCATTGGTAGGAATCCTGAACGTTGTTTAAACATGACTTTAGTTTGAAAAAGAAGCCCAAAAATTGCATTACACAAAACTGATATGGTCTTTCTTCACTTTCTGTGAAGCAAGATAATTGTCTTTTTCTTGAAACAAATATCAGGCCTTTAGACTCAGCTCAGGAAGCTTACTCTCTCCTTGTCAAGAATAGTTTGGGGTTCAGTTGAAGTCAGTCACACTGGGACAATGTATTCTGGTTTCAGTGCAGGTTTGGCTGACCTGTGACAACACATTTTGCGGATGACCTCAGTGGGGGACAGTCATAAACATTTATTTTCTCAAGAGCTTATAGAATGCACTGTAGGAGGCTGCTACTGTGGTTTTTAATTTGCTATTAAATAACTATTCTATGCACGCTGTACATCTATGCTGGTCCATA